AGCTTCAACCATGACTCCTCACTAGGCCTCCAGAACCTTTATTCACATTGTGCTATGATCCAAGATTCTTCTTATACCGATCCTCCTTCCTTCCACAGAGATCAGACATGCATCGCAGTCTAACAGCTCTCCTTATCTTTTCGTGTTTACTTCCCTAGTGAAGTTCATGAACATTTAACCCCACCTTAACATCTGGCTTCTTGGCACACCTGAACAAATGCCATTGTCCTCACCAGAGAAATTATCTCCACATCTCTATGTGTGATGAGGATTTCCCATCTTCCATGGACAATGGAATAATCGATCTTTTTGTGGAATTAACCTTGGATTTGCTGACCTGGCTTAGCAAATCCATCCTCTTCATTCTTCACCCCAGCATCCCTCACTGCCTTGAATCTTATAAGCAACAATGTGCTGGTGAAACCAATTGTACCAATTCGTAAAACCTCACTAAATTCCTGACGAAGACTGAGGAATTTAATGAGGCCATTATTAAAACATATATATTTACAACAAAATAAATGAGTCCTTACAAAGGTAATGATTCAAAAGCTTATCACTCCCTAATTATTGAACAACTTTACATTGTTTCCTATGCTCTCTGGTTATTTATATTCATTATATTGGGTGTTGGAAATACTATAGAATGGTGTGCATCTTCACTTCTCTATGGATTTTGGAGGCCAGATTTACACTTGGTCTTAGCCAAAAGACTGAGAAGGAATAAGGAGGTCAGAACTAGACATGCTGTTTCAGCTCATTTCTTTAGTCATCTGAGAAGCTGCCAGCTTTGAGAGCAGCATGAACCAAGAGAAGGTTTTCTAGCCAGTCCAGGAAGCACCGCCCTCTGGGCCAGTGGAGCCAATGTGCTTTCAGCACCTGTGGCTGCTGAATGCAGCTTTGGTGTGTCCAGAAAGGAGAAGCATAGCACAGACTCTCGGGGTTTTGCAGTCGAGCCACAAACCCTGTAGCTAATAACTATTCTCCCTTTTGAGAAACAGATCGGGGCTTCTTGCTGGGCACTAGTAAATACAGCAGTCTGAGGGTGACACAGTTGGTACCATGTGACAGATGCCCATGATAAATAGGGGGTTATCTGATCCACCAAGCTGTAAAGTCAGCTAACATTTCGTGTGTGTGTGTGTGTGTGTGTGTGTGTGTGTGTGTGTGTGTGTTCATGTGCCAGACTCTGTTCTAAGAACTTCTAACATTTCTTCTAATCCTCACCACATTTCTGGAAGATAGTACTGTCTTTTTTTTTTTATGGTCCCTATTTTTAGGTGAGAAGACTAAAGCAGAAAGAGTGTGTTGGTCAGCTTTTCTTTGCTGTAAGCTAAAATACCTGATCAGAACAATTGAGAGGAGAAAGGGTTTATTTTGGTTCAGTCCACAGTCAACAGACTCCATTGCTTGGGCCCAAGGTGAGGCAGAATGTCATGGTGGACGGGAGGTGGTGGGAGAAAATTGCTTACTTATGGTAGCCAGGTAACAGAGAGAGAGGAGATCCAAGGAAACAAGAAATAATCACCAAAGACCTCCCCCCAATGACCTTTCTCTAACAGTCATGTTTCACCTGCCTACTGTTACCACCCAGTTAGTCCTCTCAAATTATTAATCCATCAAATGGATCAACCCACTGATTAAGTTACAGTTCTCATAATCTAATCGTTTCACTTCCTATGTTAAACCAGGAGCTTCCGGAGGACACCTCATATCTAAACCAGAACAGAGGGGATAAGCAATTTGTCCAAGTTATAGTTAATAAGGGGCACACCTTGGTTAGAATCTACCCCCTGGCTCCAAGGTGCCCATGTTTCATTGCCAAACTATATTGCATCTCATGATCCAGTGGAAGTCTTCTGTACTTGATGGGGCTTGAGCAGACAGCGAAGACAGGCGGATTGCATGATGTGCCACTCCCACCACACCACCCTTTCCTCCTCAGTCTGCACAGCTGGGCACTGGCCACAAGAGGACAGTTGCAACATTACAGCCCAACTCAAAGGTAGTACTGAAGATCAGCAGGGAAGGGAAATTTTCCAGAAAGTAGAATTTTAAACATTTCATCTTTCCATAGTTTAAACATCCCCACCAAAACTCATTCTGAAATTTAACTCCCATTCTGAGGTTTTAAGAGGAAGGAAACAATCTGACTATGATATTTAGAGGTGAGACATTTGGTAGGTGGTTAAACTTCAATGAGGCAATAAGGGTGGGGCGCTAATCCGATGAGACTGCTGCTTCAGAGGAGAGAGCAGAGCTAGTATATTCTGTCTTGCCATGTGATGCCCTGCGCCCCTTGGCAGTCCCCACCAGCAAGAAGGACCTCACCAGATCTAGTAGTTACTAGATCTTGGACTTTCCAGTCTTGAAACCATGAGCTTAATCATACCCTCCATTTATTTATTTGTTTGTTTGTTTATTTGCAGTGCTGGGGATTGAGCCCAGGGTCTCATGCATGCTAAGAAAGCACTCTACCACAGAGCCACATTCTCACCCTTATTCTTTACAAATTACTCAGTCTGTGGCACTCAGTTATAGCAACAGAAAAATGAATTAAGACATATCCTGTTGACCACTGTATCTGAAAAGAGAAATGGCCTGAGGCACACATATTATCAGTTAATAGTCAGTAGATGATGTTTTAGCTCAGCAGCCTGAGACTTGGAAGGCCCAGAAATACAAGGCTATTCGCAAGAATGTTTGAGGGAAGAGATATATATGAACTCAGAGAATGGATACAGACTTGACAGTATTTAGTTCTTTGTAAATATTCATCAAAAGACCTTCTTGAGAGAAGAAGTGTTGAATAATCAGGTGAAAAGTTGACCAGTCCTCTGCGCGTCACCTACTCCTTCCTCCAGGCACTCCAGTAGGGTCCAACGACTCATGAACAAAGTGGGCTTGGTGGTAGAATTGCACATTGAATGTGGGTTCAGCTGCATCAGAGCTGATCTGGCTATTGCTGCTGTTGAATATTTAGTTGTTCAGTAATTAAAGCCAATCACAAGTCCCTGACATGCAACAGGCTTGAATATAACAAATCCAGGAATAATGTGGCCAGGGAAGGAAATGAGTTCTTTCCCCCCCCCACCCCATCCACTGCCAGAACACTTTCTGCTTGGCACCTGAACTCGGAATCCTGGGACTAAATGTCAAAAGCCTGCCACATCCACAGATTTTTGTTATCTTCAGGGCATCCTGGAACCAATTTCAACAGATACTAAGGGATGACTTTATTTACTCAACCAGCAACTAATGCCCTTTCTCCTATAGCCAGAATACACATGAGTCTCAGAGCCAAGGCATTAGGAGGAAGGCCTCCTTAAGGTTCACCTGCAAAATTGTACCTTAGCCCCAGGACTGTGCTCTGATGATTTAAAAGCTTGAGAAAAGACTTCCACCAGAAAAACAAAACAAAGCAATATAGTTCCATTGATTTAGAAGCTCAGACTGCTACCCAGTCATTGTGGGTAGCAGTCTGATCACTAACAAATGCAGACTGATTTATAATATTCATGGAAACCAGGGGACCTCTTGGAGTTCCTTCATATCCAGTGATAAAAAGTCCTGTGTCAGGATCACCAAGGCCCAGACTCTTTGTGAAGAAAGGTTTAGGTCACTCTACTAATTATATAATTCCTACCAGCCAAGTGACTAGCTAAAAATAACAAGCATCTGGCATGGAAAATAGATGAGGGAAATGATATAATAGCAGCCATTGCCTCTTAACCAGTTGTAGAAATGAATATCATTGCTGCTGTATGCATTTTCTTTTTTACCATGTTATATCTACCATATTTTCCAAAAAGCTTCTTCTTTCTCTTTTCCTACTAAGGGTGTGTTACTGGTGATCAAATTCATAATGTAGTTAGTTGAGCATACAGATTATCATGATGGGATCATGACAGAACCAGAGGATGAAAGGCCCTCACCCAGAGGTTTTATATTTAAGGGCAGATGCAGTAATGAATAAAACTTTGAACTAACCACTTTGGAGAAGATGATTGTGCCTTCTTCTGTAGAATGGATGATTGTGTTAATCAAGGAAAGTCCTTTGTGATACTTTTTACCCCAACCAATGCTAAGGATTGAACCTAAGGCCTCACTCTTATATTAAGCATATATTCTCTTACTGAGCTACATCCCCAATCCCTCTGCTCTTTTTAATTAAAAAAAATTAAGAAAAATTTTAAATTAAAAAAAATTAAAAAATGAAAGGTGTGTCTCCTCACACTGAAGAATCTGAAAATGCCATATGCAGTCTTCCTCTGCCTGCCTCTCTCATAGGTATGGACCTGGGTTCCACCCATCAAATACCTCACTAGAGACTCTGAGGTGGAGTGGGCAGAATACACACTGGGACAGGTGGGTGTGACCCTGATGCTGTACAAGTATAGAGGTGTGGCTCGGTGACTCTGGTGGTGGCATCCAGCATCCATTGCTGATGGCGACCTCCGTGCTGATTGACATTACCTGTCCAGAACATCAACAAAGATGTTTTCACCAGCTCAGATTTGAGGCATAGATTTGGGTATTGTTCCAGGCAGGGTAGACCCCAAATCTGGTCCTCTGACTGTAAAGATTCTCTGCAGCAGCCAATATTCTTTTAATAAATTCATTCTGATTAAATTGACCTAAGTGGGTTTCGTGAAGAAAGATCTAGAAGGATACATTTCAGTAAGTAAAGAGTGGTCCTTGATGACTCTTGAGGACTTATTGATATTTCCAGTATTCTATGTTTTTTGGATTTTACTAACATTTGTAGTAATATTTTAATAAAAATAGTTTTTTAAGTATTTAAAATAGATATCTTGAGTTTTCATTAAACTTTCTGATCTATGACCTTATATTATAGGTACACACTATCATCAAGATTAACTGCCTAATAAAGAAAAAAGAAAATGCTTCAGCTAGCTTAATTCAAAGTGAAAAAAATAATATTGTAAAGTAAAAGAAAAATATGAGATACTCATTCAAAACCAGGAATAACAATTGGGAAAAATTCAATAAAGCAATTCTGCCTTTATTGTTGTTTCATTTATTTTTACAAATAGTTGATATTACCTATGTAATATTCACAATGATATAAAAATGTGAGAAGAATACATGTGAATATTGATTTCAGATTTGATAAAATATATAAAACATTAAGGTATTATGTCCAACTACAACTAAAATGAAGCAGGTAACAATGAGAAATATTTGCAGCATTAGATCTTACATTTATGGATGTTGACAAGTTGCAGTTGTATATCTACAGTCAGACACTTAGGACACTTATCATAAATTTTACTTAATGTTTAAAACGGGAAAGCAATAGCCAAGTATGTAGTCAATAAAATATGCCTAATTATCTTTCCAAGATTCTTCTATGCTCAAGTAAGTTTTATAGGAGTCTTATTATATGCACATTTATCTTTCTTCCCAATATAAATCTTCTCAAGGAACTAAAAGAGAGCAAGAGAGAGAGAGAGAGAGAAAGAGAGAGAGAGGCTTCATTAGATTAGCCAACAAAATCTGTACAGTCCTCCCCACAAACCACTATCACATCCAAATTAAAAATCTCACTCTCTGACATATATCCTTACCTACACAAAAATCACATGTTAATAACTTGACCATGAGAGACAATGATCTTTAGAAGGTGGTCGCACAGAATCAGAAATACTGCAATTGAATTCACACATGTCCTATGCCCAAGCCTGGCCCAGCCCAGCTCAGCAGTCTTATGCTACTCATCTCTGCTGTTAAAGGCCTGGGATCCATTTGTGTAGTAGAGGAAATGAAGCTGTGGGCAATGCATAAGGTAGATATTCTAGGAGCAGATACTGGAATGTGTATATAAATACATATGCTCAAGTAGCATTTGTGAATATACGCCTACACAGTGTAACATACATTATGGGTAAAAAAAGAGAAGGAATGTTCACATATAAATTTAAGCAAAAAATGATTATATATATAATACTTTATGTATAAATGTGTGTATGAATATGCATCTCATTTGCTATAATAGATCCCTTCTTTTAGTTAAAATCTTTTTGATAAGAGACTATGAAATGCAAGAATAAAGGGACAAAATACTGTAGGACTTTGAGTGTCAGCTCTTCTCAAAGGACTCAGCTGTAGCCAGAGGCATCATCCCTCTGTAGTTAAATCAGCTGAAGAATATAGCCAGTATGTCAGGCATGCTTCCTTCGTGCTTCCAAAATTGATCTACATGCTTATCTATAGAGCAGATTAAACCAATAGGAAACAAACCAAAATGGAAAAAATAGAGTGTTTTGTCACTAAAAATGTTAAGGTAGAAATATGAGACAGGGGCTGGGGTTGTGGCTCAGCTGTACAGTCCTTGCCTAGCACGTGTGAGACGCTGGGTTTGATCCTCAGTACCACATAAAAATAAATAAAATAAAGGTATTTTGTCCAACTACAACCAAAAAAAAAATTTAAAAAAGAAATATGAGACACTATAGCATTAAGAACGAATTAGGGAGCTGGGGTTGTGGCTCAGTGGTAGAGTTCTTTCCTAGCATGCATGAGGCTATGGGTTCGATCCCCAGCACCACATCAAAAAACTAAATAAACAAAATAAAGCTACTGTGTCCATAAAAAAAAAAAAAGAACGAATTAGGGCTGGGCACAGTGGGGTATGTTTGTAATCCCAGTGACTTGGGAGTCTGAGAAAGGATAGGATAACTCAGTGGTAAAGCACCCCAGGGTTCCATTCCCAGAACAAAAGGAAGGAAGGAAGGAAGGAAGGAAGGAAGGAAGGAAGGAAGGAAGGAAGAGAATAAATAAGGATATATGTGTGTATATATATATATATATATAATCACATAATTATATATCTGTATATTATGTATGTTTCAATTATGAACATATAAAATATAGGAAATAAAATTTAAAAATATGTATTCTACATATAAATCTGTAGAGATAGATTTATGTGAACCTTATGTACAGCTATCATCACTATATATAAGTATAAAACTATTTGTATAAATATATTAAGCATACCTTGCTGGCCTAGTGTTGATGTTCAGAGCTAAAGGACACCACTGCGATTCTATAATGGAGTCTTCTAATCCCACATCTCCACCTCTAAACTTGTCTCCTTTAACTCTGAAACCAATTTGGCTCTGAACATGGTCAATGTGTACACTTATTTGTCAGTAAGCATAAGCCATTGTTGGTTCTATCATCCTTGCGGGGGGGGAAAAAAAAATCTAGTTTCCATGTCTAGGAACGTCTGACCATCTTGGCTGCACTGCCCCCTAATGACCCTAAGGGATGACCATAAAAGACAGAGGACAAATGCATGACTTACTATTAGCTACAACTTTGGTCCCAAATCTGCTGTGGTTACAGGAGTGGTCTGGGTACCCAACTCCAGACTGCAGACTCTCCTGCTGAACTCTCCTCTCTGCTGACCTCCCCTGTGTCTTCTAAGGGGTGTAGTATCAGGGTTATCCATGGGAAGAGGCTGAGCCAGCTTTACAATTTAAAGGAACAGAACTCAAAAGGCAGAAGAGAAGAAAGGGAAAAGAGGCATCAGATTCTGACAGGCCCCAGGAGGTAATCTTTGGCCCTCGTCCTTTTCCACTCGAGGGAGACCTTGCAGAACAGTGACAAAATAGCAGATCTCAACTCTATCTTAAGCCACAGCTCTTTATTCTTAGGCCTGGAAATAAAGGAGATTCAGAAACATCCTAAAAAACTCAGTGTGTTTTAGTAACAGTTAGAATTTGCAAAGCATATGCCCTGTACACAGACCTCTTTCACTTGAGCCCCACTGAGGCCAAACCTATGGAAAGGGAGTGAGACGGCAGAGAGACAAGGCACCTCTGACAGTAGCAGAAACCAAGGCAAAATAAAAAGGGCAAAATGCTGCCTCCTGTCTATAGAGAAGCATAACCTTTCCTCCAAGAGCATGAGTCTTGGAAGATGCCTGTAGAAGCACTAAGATTCTGTTGGGGTAGTAATGCCTTCCTGCCAACAACTGTGAGCTATGAAGCCCCTAGCAGGGCTTTGCCCAATGTACTCACCCTGGGCATCCTGTAGCCCCTACGTAGGATGAAATCCTTAAAGGCATCTATCCCATGAAGGTCTGCAAGTAACTCTTCCTAAAAGAGGAGTTTAAAGGACATTTAAAGAATCTGGTCAGCAGCTCTTTATAAAGTGCCTCATTTGAAACCACTCCTTCTTATTTCTGATGTATATAAATAACGTCCATGAGTTGATGAAGATGAAGGCTTTCAAAGACATGCAACTTTTCTTCCTCATCCTTTATATCACCCTTGTATTAAGGATAAACAACACATTTTAGCAATTAAGTCAATTACTGACCAAAGATGTCTGGAACCTAAGCTATTTGAGACTAACATTATGTCCACAATTTATAGATATTAACTCCAAAGGGCATGACAATAAAAAGAAGACTTTATCTAACCTCAACATCCTTTCAATATGCAAGCATCCTTTTATTTATTCAAAATTTTAAAATTGTATGTATAAGTTTATGCAACTGCAATGCCATACTAGAAGAGCATTTTACCTTCCAAACCCAGTCAATCAAGGATGGTCAAAACTCTTGAGTTTCTACAAGACCATTGTGTGACTGTAGTGACTGCCAGCCGTCAGTACACCATAGCACCTATGTCCTGAAAAGGCTATAGCATCAACTTAGAGTGTATGGGGTAAACCATCCTTGGGGTATTGCAAAAATGTGATTTATGAAAATAGTTGTAGAACAATTCCATTGTTTTGAATCCTCCTTATGTAAACTTCTTGATAAACATTTTTTTACTATAAAAGTTATATCAACCATATTCTCAAAATTTAAATGATGTTCCTTTTTCATTAGCTGACTGTAACCATTTTGGCAAACACCTTTGCTAGCTTTTGCCATCAAAATGAAATATGTTTTAGAGAATTCTTTAAGTCTTTAAGAATTAATATTTAAGAAATTTTTAAAAAGAAAATTTCTAGACACCTTAAATCAAAAGTATGTAACTATTTGTGTTTTAAAATATTTAATTCATTGTAACTTTTCATTATTTTAAAAAATATGCCTCGAATAATTTTATGTTATATATTAAACTCCCATAGACTTAGGCAGTTCCAAAAACCATACCCTGATAATTTCTGCTAACCATTATTCACATTATTTTGAAACTTACATAAGCATGTTGTGCTCATAAATTTGTGTTACACATCACACAAAATAAGAATTATCAGGCTGGGGATGTGGCTCAAGAGGTAGCACGCTCGCCTGGCATGCGCAGGGCACTGGGTTCGCTCCTCAGCACCACATAAAAATAAAATAAAGATATTGTGTCCACCGAAAACTAAAAACTAAATATTTAAAAATTCTCTCTCTCTCTTAAAAAATAAGAATTATCTATTATGAAAAAGATAAAAATGACCATTGTTCCTGTCTTAGTTTTCTGATCTAAAGGAGAAAACTGATGAATTTCATGAATGATAACCAAATATGTACAACATTTTGCTTTTCCGGAGCATTTTCACATCTGTTATCTTGGAGAAGTTTGGGGTCTGTTGAAAAGAGAATATGTTCACGAACATTCTCATCAGAATCCTGTGCAAGTGTTGCATCCACATTTCCAAATATCCAGAACAATGTTGACTATCTTCTTCATTAGATACTTGTACACAGAGGTGGGCAGGCACAGAGTTTATTTGTTGTATGTGTTTGTTGCTTTGCAATATTAGTGCTTAACCCTTGTCCCTTTCCTTTCAGACAGAACTTGTAGCTTTGCTAAATTACAAAAAAGAATTTTCCCAGTTGCAATTTTGTATTTTTGGACAATCATCCATTACTGATAGGAAGCAAGCGTCCCCCTTAGTAACCCAAAAGCCTCCAAGACAGCATATCTAAGGACTGAGGTGGTCCTACCATGTCAACTGCCCTTTGAACAATTATTCATGGAATCAATTGTTCCAAAATGGAAGGAGTGAGCTGAGTGGTGGTCCCATCTTTAGAGATATTGTGTTTACCACCCAGCTAGGAGGGTTCAGGTCTTGCCTATCACCCATTTCCCACAGTATTACCAGCGTTTCTCAGTGCTGAATTCAACATGCAAGCTATAGGACTTTACAGAGCCTCAGTGTTCCACCAGAGACCCTGTGATCATCCTTAGCTCAGAGGATCAACTCTCAGCATACCTACATACCTGGTCCTGTAGCTTCTTTTTAAAATTCTCATCCTGAGATTTAGATGAAACTCTGGGATCAACCAAAGGTTCATCTGCTCTTTGCTTTTTCCATAAATTGGTGTTCAAATACCATGCTCCATACCTCATCTTCACCGGCTTTGGTTTATAAGGATTCTATGGGAAATAACATAATTCACAGTGTCAAAAGTTATTGTTTTTGTTTTGTCATTGCAATAAATCTTATGAAATGCAATAAATGCATTGCAATAAATGCTTATGAAAGCAGGATCATTACTTTGAATTTATAGTTGGTCTTCGCAGGTTTTAATTTTACAAAAGAAATATGAAAAGTTCATAATTGAGAAAATAATGTATTAGCTAAGAACATGGTCTTTAAATTTGGACAGATCTAAGTTCAAATCCAGTCTTCTCTAAGTATTTGTGGACTCAAAATTTGTAGACTCATGGTCGTGGGCCGGTTAAACTCTTCATGAGTGAAGTGAAAATAACAATAGTAGTCAATTACAAAGAAAATATATGTAAGGCAGTTAGGAATCAAGTAAAAATAACATATTTTGCTCAAGGGTAACGATCTTGAACAACACTCAGTCATAAATATTGTTATTAGACTCACTGTAGGCCCTGCACTCTGCCCGGCTTTACAAGTGCTGCACTATATTGTATTAAACTCACACCTTTCTTTCTACCATCCCTCAGCAGAATGTGAAGAGAACCTCTTGCCAGATGGTGCAGGTGCAACACCCACCACGTGCTATCCCATCACAAAAGGGGGTTTAATTCTTGGAAGGGGCAAAGAAACATGAAGCCACAAAGATGCAGTCTCTCTCCCCTCTCACTCACATTTAAACTATGTGTTGGAATGGGTGGGGCATTCTAGAGTTGAGCCAGCAATTCATGTCTAAGACAGAATCAGACAGAGCAGACAGGAGGGAAGTCCCACCAAGAGCTGGATTTGACCCACTATTGCAATATCCTGACCTCCTTGAGGTTTCTGGAGCATACCTGCCACACTGCTGGATCAGTGCCCTTCTACTCATTGTTCCCTCTGCTATAATGTGCTTCCCTAAGAGTCTCCCACGGCTCACTCCTTTACCAACTCATGTCATCTTTCCAGTGGATCTTCCCTGATCCAATTTTAAAATGGCAACCCCCTCACAACACTCCTTGCCTTCTCTCCCTGCCTAATTTTTCTTAATGGCATTTATCACTATTTGATATGCCATATTTCTTTAAAAATTGTGTCTCTTCTCACCCTCTAAAATGTAAGCTTTGGAGATTGCTCCCTGCTATGTCTTCCTGACAGCTAGAACAACAGTGAGAGGAAATAATAGGTGCTCAATAAATATTTGTTGAATTAAAGTCGAGTTTCTTAACTTCATTAACATTTGGGATTAGATCATTCTTTACGGGGCAGGGTGTGGCGGACCTATACATTTGAAGGATGTTTAGCAGAATTCCTGACCTATACACACAAGAGGCCAGCAGCACCCTCTGAGTTGCAAAAACCAAAATCTCCAAACATTTCCAAATAGTCCTTGGAAGAGAGGGGAGGGAGCAAAGTCTTCCTCAACCTGGAACCAATGAATTAAAGAAAGGCCGAAAGGGAAGAGAGGGGGAAAGGAGGAAGGAGAGGGAGAAGAATGGAGTCTACATCACTGCTACACTGCAGAACCTAAGTTCCAGAATATATTACATTGTTGGTTAACTGGCGATTTTTTTGAGACACAGAAAAAACATCATTTCTTCTCTGAAACCTTACTGAAACTGCCCTCACCCCATGATTGGTGGAATTTATTATTTCTTCCTATGTTCTATACACAGATGACATTTTGTTATAGTCAGTCATTTTGACCCCACTAGACTGTAAGTTCTTAACTGCAGGAAGCAGTCCTCTAGTTTTATGTCATTTGTTCCTAGCACTTTTGGACACACAGATTCTCAGAAGTGTTTATTAAGTAACACATAAAGGAATGGATGAGTTGATATACCTGGCAAAGAAAAATAATGTTAAATTAAAGGCACAGAATTCTATGAGAGATTAGAAGTAAGAAATAAATTTATGTCAACCAAGAGACAACACTCCATGGCCAATAATCCATGGAAAAATTAGCATAGACCTTGTATCTAAAGAAAGATAGAGCATCTGAAGGGAAACTTCAGACATAGAGAATACCAGGAGAAGGTTAAGGCAGTGGGAAGCTCAGAGCTTCAAAGAACATCAAAGGGCAGATCATAGCAGTCCTGAGAATACTACATGGAGTAAAAAAATAAAGATGAGGATTTCCACTTCCAGAATAGGGATAGGGTTTATCCTCCTACTTACAACATCTTAAAAACAAAGTCACACACACGCACACACACACACACACACACACACACACACACACCACACA